GGTTAGATGCAAAACGGTCCCTTCCTGGAAGCTGCCAGCCCTTCAACGTCAGTTTTCCTTTATAAAAGTGACTTTTGATTTTTTTCATTAACGAAAGTGAAACTTGCATTTTTTTTTTTTTTTGGTATAACTTAAGAGCACCCTCAAATTATTTGAGACTTGAGACTAATCTCTATTAGGTCAGAAATGTTTAGGTTAAAATCCTCCTAATAAATATGCTTCTTGAGGTTTGAATTTTTACAGGATGAGATTGCTTGTCATTTCAACCAACAGCTTGTCGGTAAGTGAAAATTGCATCTTTGTTCATCCAAGTAAACGGCGTGATTTGCCATATTAACAGGTCTTTGTTTCTGTAGTTAATAAATCAAATAGTCCGTGAAACTTACATGGAGTTTCAGAGCAATTTGCCAACGGTTCCCTCATAAAAACAAAGCCATCATGTGGAGGATTTTTTTAAAAAAATTATTTATATATACTATAAAAACTCTTGCAAGCAATAATGTTTACAAATGTTAGTTTCAGATTAAGACTTATATGGCATATTTAGATTTATGGTTGCTAAAAAAAAATCATTCTTACGAAACAGTCAATGTTCCTCAATCCAGGAAATATTTCTGTGACTTTAAATATATTTTGAATTCCAAATATAACACATCAATTTACTTTATTTCTTAAATTTATAATTTTTTCCCAGATTAATTATCCTTTTTTGGCTGTACATGTAAAAGGAATTTTTGTCAATTTGATAGTTCGCATCGCAAATGATTAATTAGATGAAATATTCTTGAAAATATAACATATATGTTTTTACAGATGATTTATATAAATAATTTTTTTAATATTTACAAATTCATTATCTAACTTTTGTATTGAAGATGGAAATAATAGGACAATGCCAAGCCAAACTTACAACCTAACCCAAGATATTATTTTATTTAAGTTTTTTGTATACCGTATTTTATTTTCATGACGTTACATGGAAGAACTGGTCATGTTTTTTTTTTCTTTTTTTGGTTGCGGGCCATGAAAGAACTATATTACCTTTTATCACCAATATAATACTACCTTCAGTCCTAAATATAAGAGTTAGTTAATTAATTTGAGTAGATTAAGAAAATAAGTTAAGTTCGTTATTTATAATAGATAGGTATTGTATTTTGTAAAATATTCTTGCTAATCAAGTGTATTAGCTATAAGTACTATTATCAAAATGATTATCTTGAGGAAAAAATACATAAATATAAGAGACAAAGTGAATTGGTGTCTTATATTTAGGAGGAAAATAAAAGTCAAATGAGATCTTATATTAAAAACCAGAGTTAGTATATCAGTAGCTAAAATTACGTAGTAAAACTTTACCGCCAAGTATTTTTCCAACATTATTTTCATTCATTTTACAAGTTTTTCTCTCTGTCTCTCACATGATTTTAGAAAAAAGTGATCCATAATTTTTATATAATAATAACAAGTTAGTAACTTAATTAATAATTTGCGTAAATTAATTAATTAGAATTTATATTTAAGATTAGAGAGGGGTGACAAGTAACAACTAACAAATACCTATTTATAATTGAAACAAAATTTGAAAGCGAAGCATTCTCCTTATTCCTTAATCCTTCCTGATGGGAGGATGAAACCTGAACAGTGATTCCAAATCTGCCAGATGCGTAAAGCACAAAAGTTAGATCGCTGGTGAATCTTCCACCTATTAAATATAAGTGAGCTAAAAGTGCACCCTAACCCAAAGTTACTAAGCTAGGTTATTAGACAGTCGATTGAAATTACTTATAAACATATTTCATATAAATTGAGATAATATTTATTTTATATACTAAGCTCATATTCTATAAATCATAGTTAAAAAATTTACTTATAAACTACTCCTCTGGTCCTTAATATAAGACCCATTTAACTAATTTGATTATATTAAGGAAGTTAGGTAAGTTAGTTAATTATAAGAAAAGTGACACATTTTTCCTAAAATACCATAATCATCTTTCTTAATACCCCTCTCCCTCTTTTACTTGATTATGGTTGAGGGAGTATCTATAGGGGTAATTTAGAGAAAATTGATAAATATAAGAAATGGGTCTTATATTTAGGATCAAAACCAACTCAATAATTGGGTTCTATATTAAGGACCGGATGAGTATTATAAATAGGCCCTACATGAGCCAAAATACAACCTAACCCAAAACACTAAAGTTATGTCGCCGGTCAGTTGTACCTACCAAATATAAGTGAGCCAATTCACATCCAGCTAACTTTTTGTTCATCACAGTAAACCGCGTGATTTGTCATATTAACAAGTCCTTGTTTTTGTAGTTAGTAATTTAAATATTTCGTGAAACTTACATGGAGTTTTAGAGCATCTGCCAACGTTCCCTCGTAAAACAAAAGCCATCATGTGAAGGATTATTTTTAAAATTTTTTTATTTATATACTATTAAAACTCTTACAAGCAATATGTTTACAAATGTTAAACATTTTCAGATTAAAGCTTTTATGGGATATTTAGATTTGTGGTTATTTAAAAAAAGAAAAAATCCATTGTTACCAAAGTGATATAGTTCCTCAAATCCATTCATCTTTCTAGAAAATAATCCCTCTAACCCAAAACTAATTGAGAAATTTATTATAATTTTTAAATATAAGACCTTAATCCATTTTTTTTTTCATATGATTCTTCTCCAAATCAACGGTATATCTTTATTGATTGAATATATAAAGGAAGTTTCCATGGTTGTGATGGTTATGCATATATGTCATTAATTAGATGAGGTATTTGAGAAAAACTAACGTACATCTTTTAATAAATAACTAATTTAAATAATTTTCTTAATATTTAAATCAGACATCACTAAGTTGCTGCTGTAATTCACTAAATTATATCAGCCACTTTCGCTCATCAAATGGTTAGATGCAAAACCATCCCTTCCTGGAAGCTGCCAGAGTGGCGGCACTTTTCGTTTGTAAGTTTTCCTTTATCAAAGTGACTTTATGGTTTTTCCACAACAAAAAACTGACTTTTGACTTCATATCAATTGACTAATAATTTTATCTTGTTCTTACCAACTGGCCATATTCACCTTCGGTTCCATCCATCCAATTTCATGTATTAAAAGTTATGTCACAAGTGATGTTCATTGGGTCTGAAGAATTAAAGGTGAGTCAAGTCTTTCGCTGATATACCCCATCATCCCATCACTGTTGCCAGAGAGTGTGTGTAAACTGTTCTTTCTGTACTTTGAAACAAACTACAATGGCTTCTGCTTCCTCAAGCTTTAGCTGTAGGCCGAATGCTCCGAAAAAGTATGATGTGTTTCTTAGTTTTAGAGGCGAAACCCGCAACAGGTTCACCAACCATCGTCATGCTGCAGCTCTCAATAGTACGTGACGGGTCATTTATTCTTCCATGATTCCATCCATTCACAACTTTTCCAATGAGGATATGCACCGCTTTAATATGGAAGCCAAACCATACAATTCTACCAGAGACTTGAGTTCTACACAACAGATACTGTTTTGGTCAACAAAATTGACCCTACCATATCTAACAATTAAAACTCTGACCCTACCATGTCTTGGTGAAAGCTGCAGGGAGGTAACAGAGTAATTATTATTCCTTCAGACAAAGTTGCAGTGAAATAGCAAAGCAATTGGCATGAGAGCATATCAACTTTTTCAACGTAGGCCACACATTTTGTTGGACCTTAGTTACGTGGAAGCTTTCACATGCACATGTAATTCTCCCAAAGACTTGACTTCATATCCCTCCAATTTTAAATATAAGAGTTATGTAACTAATTTATGGAATTAAGTTTATTATTTTAAAAAATATGTGTTTGATTTACCTAAATATTCATTTAATAATTGTATTGAAAACTACCACATTAATAGCATAAAAAGAAAATTATAAATTTGATGGATAAAATATATTAAATTCTTATATTTAGAATTAAAATACTCCTTCAATTCAAATTAGATCTAGACATCATCTAGTGAATCATGACTAATTCTTGATGTTTATTAAGCCATTATTTTTGGTTAAACTGAACCAACAAAAAGAAATATAAAGTTACTAACAAAGATTTGGTCTAGTAGGATCTTTTTGGGCATTGAGTTCAAGTCCCAGAATTTAGTAAGGGAATAAAATTCCGTCACTAATCCGTTGCTAATTTAATAATGGAATAAAATTCCGTCACTAAATTTTTTGTCATTAAATTCTGTCACTAATCCCCTGTTTTTTTTTTTTGCAGTACAAGTTCTTATGTCCTTGTATAGTATATGTTATCTGATCAAATATAACACAGCCTTGGTTTGGATGGAGGAAAAAATTTGTTGAAAATAAGGGGAGAAAATACTATGAACAAAACTTGTAAAAATAATTGGAAAATTACTTCTTCTTCTTGTTTTTTTTTTTTTGGAATTTCCCTTGGCAATATTCTTTTCTTTTTTTTTTTTTCCTTCACATCCAAACTAAGCTAAAGTTTTAAGGTCATTCATTCTTCCCCTTATGCCTAACTTTTCTGGCGAGAAATGGGCCAATGAAATATGAAGTTGGCGGGAATTTGCAGAGAAGTAACAGAGCAATTGACATGAAGCATCAATATCACCTTTTACGTGCCAACCATTCACATGCAAAAAAAAAAAAAAAGTAACACCCATTCAGACGCAACGGATTCATGGTGCATACGAGGGACAATGTTGTCATGATATTTTGTCTAAATTAAAAAAAAACGAAAAGAATAATCATTATAGTATTATTTATTTAAACATTTTGTAGCTAAAAGAAAGGTGGGGGTTAGAATGGGAATGAAATTTGTTATTAATTCCAACGTGAAAAGGGTAAAAGTATCAGTTGCTGTGTCACTTGGCTATGAAGACTTGAAAAGGTGAATAAAGTCTATCCACTGCCATACATAATCCATCATCAGTTCATCTTTGCCACTTCTCAGCAAAGAAGACAGAGAGAGATTCGAGAGAGTAATCAGAATACCATGTTTGACATAGCTTCCCCATCATCACCTTCTTCCATGAAATATGATGTGTTTCTGAATTTCAGAGGAGAGGACACCCGCAATTCCTTCATCAGCCATCTCTATACTGCCTTGTGCTGCAGAGATATTGAGACATACATTGATTATAAGCTCCCAAAAGGTGATGACATCTCCCAATCACTCATTGAAGCAATTCAGAATTCATCCATCTCTGTGGTGGTCATCTCTAAAGACTATGCCTCCTCCAAATGGTGTTTGAATGAGCTCCTTGAGATCCTTCGCTGCAAACGACAGCAGGCACAGATTGTTGTTCCTATCTTCTACGAAATCAACCCATCTGATGTACGCAAACAAAGGGGAGCTTATGAGAAAGCATTCGCAGAACATTTGGAGAAAAACTTAGAGAAGGTGGAGGAGTGGAGACAAGCACTTTTTGATATTGCAAATCTAGCAGGATGGGACTCCCGCAACTACAGGTCACTCTTCATTCTCTAACTCCAAGTATCTGAATCAGAGTTTCATACTTTTACTTATTCCTGTGATTGGTCTTCATATTTGTATAAATTGCTTTCTCTTTCCATGCTAGCTTATTTGACAACTAACTAACTGGTAGTGAATAATGATGTTGGATCATGTTCATTGTAATACTCGTGTATATATGACATATAAACTTAACTTCTTTACACTGTTGGATTTACATGAAAAAAACATTATTTAATTGGCATCATCTCAAAATCAGATACTTTAGCTCTGAAAGTTGATTTTTTTCCCCTCTCTTTTTTCCTGTTCCCCCTATCAGATGGAAGTTGATTTTTCAACTCTTCAACATAACCTTTCTTTGGATTAATTGTTATTACGAGTAAATCATAGTAGAGTAAATTATGTATACATTTCTTATGTTTGGATGAATCCTTCTTAATAATTTTGAAAATGGAGGAAAAATATCTGTGCAATTTTGATAAAACTATGAAGAAATTTGTCGCTTTTTTAAAAAAATAATAATCTTATCATGTAAAAAAACCGTAATCAAGTAGTTGTCACTTTATTTAAACCATTCCTTAAGTTTCATTTGATGCATTAATTTCTTGAGTGATACTTTTTTTAATAATAGGGATGACGAAGAACTCATTCAAAATATTGTCACGAACATTCAAAATATTGTCAGAGACATCAACAAAAAACTGAACCGTGGGTCCCCAACAACTATTGTCGGAATTGATGAGAATTTGAATCATATTGAGTCATTGCTAGAAAAATTCTCAACAATAGGGATATGGGGGATGGGCGGAATAGGCAAAACAACAATGGCTGAGGCTGTATTTGTCAAGCTCCGCTCTCAATTTGATAGTTGCTGCTTCTTGAGAAATTTTACGGAAAACTATGAAAAGCATGGGTTAGTATATGTACGTGATGAACTTTTCCGAGAACTATTAAAGAATACATCTCTTGGAAGGCTCAATCGTAAAAAAGTTTTGATTGTACTTGATGATGTTAGCAACACAAAGCAGTTTGATGAGTTGAAAAGTAAAACTCCTCCTTTGGGACATGGTAGTAAAGTCATCATAACAAGTAGAGATAAGCATGTACTTAAAGGAATTAGAGTTGATGACATACATGAGGCCAAGGCATTGAGTGACAAAAGTTCACTTGAACTTTTCAACCTCAATGCATTTCCCGAAGATAGTTATAAGAGTGAATATGAAGAACTAGTTAAAAGAGCACTTGCTTATGCCAAAGGCATCCCGTTGGCCTTAACCGTTTTGGGTTCGCTTCTACAGTTCAGACCTGTAGATCAATGGGAAAGTGCGTTGGGAAAATTAGAAAGGATGGCCAATGAAGATATTCAAGAAGTGTTAAAATTGAGCTACAATAGACTTGATGACGAAGTGAAGGAGATATTTTTAGACATTGCTTGTTTTTTTAAAGGGAGATCTGGACAATATGTAGAAGCAATGCTAAAGAGCTTTGGCTTTGGCGCAAGCATTGGTTTGGGAATTCTTGTGGAAAGGGCGTTGATAAGTCTTAGTCATGGTGCGGTATGCATGCACGATTTAATTCAATTAATGGCTTTCGAAATTGTTCGCAAAGAGTGTAAGAATCCAGGAGGACGTAGTCGACTATGGAATTCTGGTGACATCATCGACGTCCTAAAAAATAATCGAGTAAGAAAAATATTTTCCTTTTTCTAATTAAACATTTGAAATTGAATGGGAAAAAAATTGTTAATATAAAGCAATTTATTTATTTTCTTTTGGGTTTTTATGTTGTTCAGGGAAGTGATGCAATTCAAGGCATAAGTTTAGATTTGTCTCGAATCGAAAAATTACAATTGAGTGCTGACCCCTTTAGAAAGATGACAAATTTAAGGTTTCTGGAACTCTATTCCCTCAATCATGAAAGATCGTGTATTCTGAATCTTCCATCAGGGCTTGAATCATTTCCCAATTCGTTAAGGCATCTTCGGTGGGACAATTTTCCTTTAGTGTCTTTCCCATTGTCATTTTGTGCCGAGAAGCTAGTTGAACTTCACATGCCCCGTAGCTACCTTCGAAAACTATGGGATGGCAAGCAGGTATAACATACAAATATGAGTTTTATAATTTTTCCTTATTACAATTTGATTCAAATTTAAGACTCTTGATTCCTATGTAATATTTCTCTTTTTAATTGTTGCAGGACTTGGTGAATTTAAGGAATATCAACCTTCGGGAATCTATAAAATTGATAGAGTTGCCAGATTTGTCAGCCGCTGAAAGACTCGAATGGGTTGATCTTTTCGCATGTGAAAGTTTATGCCATCTTCATCCATCCATTTTATCTCTTCCGAGATTAGAGTTTGTGGATCTTGGGATGTGCAAAAACCTAAAGAGTTTGGTTACAGAGAGTCAATCAAAATCGCTCTCAAAACTAAATCCATTTTCCAAGTGTCTACCATTGTCATTTTGTGCAGAGAAACTAGTCAAACTTCTCATGCAAGGTAGCAACCTTGACAAACCATGGGATGGCATGCAGGTAAACATACAATTAAAAGTTTTAATTTCTTTCTTTATAATTTAATTGAAATTTGAGACTCTTGCTTCTCATGTAATATTTCTCTTTTTAATTGCTGCAGAACTTTGTGAACCTAAGGGAGATAAACCTCTATGGGTGCAACCAATTGATAGAGTTGCCAGATTTGTCAACGGCCCAAAATCTTGAACAGGTTGATCTGACACGTTGTGAAAGTTTACGACATCTTCATCCATCAATTTTATCTCTCCCAAGATTGATAGATCTGACGCTTAGGGGCTGCCGAAACCTAAAAAGTTTGAAATGTGAGAGTCAATCAAAATCTCTCTTATACCTAGATGTCGATGGTTGCTCTAGTCTCAAGGAACTTTCATTCTCTTCAGACAAAATGGAGGATTTAGATTTATACGGAACATGTGTCGAGATATTGGACTTTTCAATTGGGCCTATGGAGAAACTCGAGACGCTCTATGTCCACGGCTCAACATTAAAGAATCTTCCAATCAATGACATCTGTTACATGAGATCTCTCCAGGTGCTTCGTCTTTATGATTGTGGGGGAGGAATAATTGATAAGTCAAAGCTCCATGTCTTATTTGATGCTTTGTTATCTCTACAAACAATTGATTTGAGCGGGACCTGCAATTTGACTGAACTTCCAAACAATATCAAGCATCTCCCAAGGCTATACCATCTTAATGTAAGCGGTTGCAAGGACCTTTAATCTTTACCCGAGCTTCCTCCATCCATTGAAGTATTAGATGCCGGCAAATGCACATCATTGACGACACTACAATTCATTTCTCATACTGAAGCTTCATTGTCGACGGATGAAATAACGCCGGGTTCAACATTCTGTTCCTCGGTTAGCTGTCCCAAAAATCTTAGAATTCTTATTCTTAATGATTGTGAACAATTGCATGAACTCCCGGCTGGCATCAAGCATCTTTCAAATCTAGAAGAAATTAACTTGAGCAATTGTAGAAGACTTCGTTCTCTGCCAGGTGAAATAACGCCGGGTTCAACATTCTGTTCCTCGGTTAGCTATCTCAAAAATCTTGAACGACTTATTCTTAATGGTTGTGAACAATTGTATGAACTCCCTGCTGGCATCAAGCATCTTTCAAATCTACAAGAAATTGACTTGAGCAATTGTAGAAGACTTCGTTCTCTGCCAGAGCTACCACCGTTCCTTGAAAAAATTTATGGCAAAGGTTGCATATCAGTGGAAACGTATGCTATGGAAAGTGCTTATTCCTCATTGAGCCGACTAGTGTACGCACGAAAAAGAGGTTACATTTGCTACTCCGGAAGAAAAGCTCCACAGTGGTTTACATTGAATCGGGTAGCAGAGGCCTCCAAAAATATAACTATTGAGCTTCCTTTCCCCACCAGCGACCTAATTGGCTTCATTTTGTGGTCTGTTCTTCAACGCACTTCCACCAACTTTTTATGCGAACTGTATGTTGGTGATGATTTGGGGCCATGGATCTCAAGTAGCTTTAGCGGAAAAATGACAAATTTAGATTCACATCAAGTTCTTCTGTGGAATCTACCTTGCACATTCATCGGCTTCCATAACAAGATGGACGATAAAAACACCAATTATAGATCAAAGGTGCTATTTAAATTCCGTCTTGATGCAGATAGTGGGGATGCTGATGATATGATTGAAGAATATGGAGTCTTGCCAATATATGCCTCGAAATATCGCAACTTCATTCAAGAAATGGAATTGTTGCAGTCAAACTTGGGTACCCAAAAAGAGACTTGTGCTGATGAGAATTCATTTCATGGAATCCCAAAATATGCTACTTTCTCCTTGAATCAAGGAGAAGGTGGCAATTTTGAAGGAAGTATTATTCCAGAATGGTTTACTTATAAAAGTTCAATGATAAAGTATGAATTTTCAGAAGTCTCGATCAGTGTTCGGTTTGCTCTGGATTTTGACAACTTAAAGGGTTTCATTTTCTGCTTTGTTATACCCCAGTTCTCCTCAAAAGAAAGGCACGAATGTCACTCGTCATGTTCTTTCTCTTTACATGACCTGAGTGTATCGTCTGATAGGAGTTGGATGTATGGTAACTATTTGAATGGTCCATTAGGATGGCACTATTCAATGGTAAAATTGAATTCAGATAATGTTTTTCTATGGTACGATCCCCTCTACAGTGAACTTATACTACAGAAACTCCAAAAAAAGGGGAAAGGTCATGATGAGGAGCTTGAATTTAAATTTCATTTTGGCAATTATTATACCAATGATTGCAATTCTAAAGAGCGCAACTGCTGGATCAAAGAATGTGGAGTTCGCCCAATATATGCCTCAGAGTACACGAACTTCTTTCTTCAACAACAAAATCGAAAGGAGGTGTGAAAAAAAAAGAGGTCACGAAATATTGATGATGACCAGTACCAACTCCCTTCAACAAAGAAATTGAAGGAGTCTTCAATCATTCAATCTATTCCCCAGAATCCTGGGTCCAAGACTTCTCATGCTGTCGACAAAGTGCTCCTCCTGCTGTCCCAATTGAATTTGGAATCTACAAAGGATCACAGTCGTGAGAAATAGATTACCTGGCTATAATCTATTACTTGATCGGTATGTATTCCTCTTTTACATTTCATCTATTAAAGTTGACTTTGATGCTTTTAAAAAAAATATGCTGCCCTGTAATATATTTAATTCTATTGATAAGTTTGAATCCAATTATTTCCACTACTAGGATTTCAAATCGGCTTCTTACAGTGGGTATATATCTAATTCAGACAACTTCACTAATATGTTCACTGAAGCGGAAGTCTGTTAAGGCATAACATAATAGGAAACTTGGTATGCATAGCCTAGCTTCATTACATACCATAATAAAAAAAGCATCAGTGAAGTGAAATCATCAACCAAAACTTGAGATGATTTAGATATAGGATATCTTCTTGTAATTTTGTCTACTTAAAAAGCTGGCTTTCGTAAGTCCGATATATAATTTGTTGGATTTCAGTTTGTTTACAAGGGAGTTCGACTTCTACGGTGAAGCTTTTATCTCCTCTGGATTTCATAACTAAGCTACTGATATATGCACACATAGATATTTATATATCTACACTTAGGTGAGATGGTTATTTCTCTGGAAGAGGATATATGTATGTGTGTTGGATGGTTATTCCCCGTGCTTATACAGAAGAGAGGTATATTTGATGTACTATAAATTAAGGAGGTAAGTATATTTATATATATACACACACACATATATATATAGACAAACACAATATGCTGTAATGTAGGTGGAACGCTTATTCACTGGTAAAGATTGTGATGTGAGGTGTATAAGTGAAAAGATAGTTGTAGTTGAATGCCTTGTGATTATTGGCTAATGTTATGGCTTGGTTTTGATCATATTTGTTTTAAATTCTCTTCTCGAAAATATTTTTGGGAAAAATTCTTATATGTCAATGCTTGAATTCCTCACACTTTTTTATTTGTTTCATTGAGTCAATAATAGATTCACCCCTTTTTCATTACTTTGCAGATCAGCATGCAATTGAGTAGCGATCTCTGTTGTTGCATATTGTGGACACGGGTTAAGTAGGACAAGCTAGAATAATGACGACGTAGTATCCCATGGTGTCATGGCTATTATGGAGGGGCTAGTGTTATTGTGTTGTGTCAACTTCAAATTTATGTCGAACGTTTGTTTGAATAATGCTTGACTGATGTTGGCTAATTTGTTTTGAAATTGGTACCTTGCAGTATGCAAACTGTGATTTGTTTTGATACAAATGAAGGCTAATTTTCTTTTGACTCTTTTAGTTAGTATGGTGTGAATGTGGTTTTAATCCAAGCTACCTAAACTAAGTGTACTTGTATTGGCTTGGTCAATATGCCGATCACGGCTCAAATTGAGTCATGACAATTTACTGCACTGTTCACACAAAATACAAAATGATTTATAAAAAATATGCAACAACAAAAAATTATTTAATCTTACTTTTTTTTGGCTTAGGACGGTTCTTACGGTCCTGATTTACTAAACTCAAGATAAGATGCAATTCCTGACACTGGCTACAAAGCAGTGTTTTGAGTTGAATGCCTCTTCAATGAGTTCTTTAAGATTTTGATAGCTTAAATAGAATAATCATATCTATTTTTTTAAACTAAGAATAATCATATCTAATAATTTTATAAAACTACTAACCAAGATAATAATAGTAAGTACATGTAACATATACTCCTCCTATTTTATCAATTGAGAGTCCATTAAGTTTACATTTTTGTATTTGGGATGCGTCAGCTAAAATGAATGAATAATTATTGTTATTTCTGTTCAAGGCAAATCTTCTTTCGTTTATAGGAAAGAAATGAACCGCTATTTGACAAACTTTGCACTCCATGTCTTCACTTTCTCAAAATGAAAGAAACTAAAAAAAAAAAAAAAGCGAAAAAGAAAAGCAGTTTCTTAAAAAGAAAGAACCTAAAAAAAAACAAAAATTAAAAGCTGTATTCCTGTATTCAAGAGAAACAAGCAATTCCTTCGACGTGCTTCATACTCGGTTTCTATTCCAACTTGTCTGACCAAACCAATCCTTTTTTTGCTCCTCGCCTCGAATCTGAGTTTGATTCACCCATCAGATATTCAAATGCAGAAAGGGGGCACAAATAGATGAACAATGTTTCTCAGGTTTCAACGGGTGCGGCCATTGACATAGAGGGAAAAACAAATACAAACTTCAATCGATTTGGTCGGAGAAGAAAATTTCACACCACAGGGATTACGATTTGCTGAAGACGAAACATGGAGAAGAAAAGCCTACTTTCGTTTTCCTCCGCAAGTCGTTTCACCCAAGACGCAATATTTTAGAGATAATATTCAGACAAAACAAAAGAATTAACAAGAAATGCCATGTCACCTACTTATTAGACATGCCAGGTCAGATTATTTTGGTCAAACTTGTGCTGACTCATCAATTTCGCGGTCAAAGTAATAGATCTGTTAGCATGAGATACCAGTGCACCATTTTAATTACTTTGAGGGTGAAATTGCACTATAAATTACTTTAGGCCACTGAGTGCACCTGGAAAAATACTTGGGGGTGCTGGATGCACCTTAGCCCTTTGTAGTATACATCCTTCCTCAGATGTTCAACATCTCTAAAAAAAATATATTCCAGCTTCAAGATCAAGTTTTAAATCTTATACTCATCCGTTACTACCAATCAAGGAGCATCTAAGCCATTTTGTTACTGAGTTTATCACTTTGTAGCAATCATCTACTATTTTAGAAGCTTAGGTCCAACCTTTCAATTTTATAAGATACATCCATCCTCAAATGTTCAACATCTCTAAAAAAATATTCCAGCTTCAAGATCAAGTTTTAAATCTTTATTTGAGTTTCTAATTAAGCATAATTCAAGCATATAAAATGACCACTATTCTTTTAGGAGCTAATATCTCCTAAGATTGTGAATGGTGGGGGTGATGGTGTACTGAGGTGTCCATAAGATACGTCAAGTTTAATGCTCATGAAATATATTGGTTTATATTGTAACAAACCAGTATATTTACAACAATTCCCCCCCCCCCCCAAAAAATTAACGTAACACATCCGCACACATTACTTACAATAAACTTTTCTATGAACTACTAAAGGATATATTCTTGAAAGATTAACACAAGTCAGTTAGGTCATTTGGAAAGTGAAGCTCCCTCGGGGATCTGATAGTGGTAAAATCGTCATAACAAGTAAAGACAAGACATGTACTTGATGGAGAAGTTGACAAAATACATGTGGCTATAGCAATGGGCTGGCTGCCACAATTCACCTAAGCTTTTCAACCTCAAAGCCTTCCATAAAGACGGTTATAAAAGTGAATATAAAGAACTAGTTCAAATAGCAGTCGCTTATGCCCAAGGCAACCCATTAATCTGATCCTAGCCAATTTGGGTTCATTTCTTCATTTCCAAACTGTAGAGGAGTGGGAGAGTACATAGAGAAAATTAGAAACGACGGCCCATCAAGATATTTGTTTCGTAGAAAACTGGAGTATGCTAGCTTAGTTTCTCACTGAAGCAAGCAAAATTTGGTGATTTTGAAACAAGTATTATTCCAGAGTGGTTTGGTTACAAAGGCTTGACAGCAGAGTCTTCTGTCTTTGTTCAACTTAATCCTAGTTTTGATGGCTTATTGGGTTTCATCTTCTGCTTTGTTATTCCTCAATTCTCCTTAAAAGGGATCTACGTCACTCATCATGTGGATACTATGATGAAACTAACATTTATCAAAAAGGCCCTAGAGGATGGCATTATTCAACGATCGAATTGAATTCAAATAATGTTTCCCTATGGTATGATCCTCTCTATTGTGAACTCATTCTGGAGGATATTCAAAGCAGAATAGGCTCCAGTAAAGCTGGGAAATATAAATCAAAGGTCAAATTTGAATTTAAATTTGGTGATTGCTTGATCAAAGAATGTGGAGTTTGACCAATATAGGTCTCAGACAAAAGGAATTGAAGTTGAGGTTAATAACGGGAAAAAAGAGGCATCGGAATATTGATGAATTTGATGAGTTGCTGTTACCATTCTCACAATTGAATTTGGAACGCAAGAAGAATAGCAGCATCCATCGGATATAAATTATGTATGATTTCTTTTCTGGTATTTATATGCCTATCTTGTTAAATTTCATCTATTAAGCATCTGTCTTTATTTAGTATATATGCATTATGTTAGCAAAAATTATAGGGATGGTGAATAAGTGTGTAAAAGTGGATATTTTCAAAGTTAAATATCTTTTCTGTTTTTAAGTAAAAAAGCTACTACCTTCTAATTCATTTCGTTCTGTTGATATGTTTGAACTGCCTTATTTCCTAACTTGAACTTTGATTTATTGTTGGCTTATTACAATGACCAGGTTTCTTCTCAAGCTAACATCTTTGGCATTTTCCTTGGTGCAGTGTGTAGCAACAAGCAATATGCAGTTGAGTAGGATAAAAGGATAACAGGAAACTTGGTATGTAGTCTTACTTCATTGGATAACATATTCAGTCATAAAAAACCATTTGAAAAATAATCAAACAAAACGTTGCATGATCAAGTTTGTAGCTCAGAATAGCTTCTATTTTCACAGTTTTGTCTATTTTAAGAACTCCTTTTCACAAGTCCTTCTTCTTTGTAGGATTTATGCTATTTCCAGCACAACTTGATCTCTGCTTAAGCTGTTGACGTTCACAAATGCCCTTCTTGGTTTCTTCATTAGTTCACCCCTGCTGGAACCACTGTTTCAAGTAGATAAGTTTTATTGGTCTCTCTTCCACATCCTGTAATTCTTACTGATTTAATAGTACGGGCCTGGAATTGTACCTCTTTTATACGAATGAGTTGTATTTCTTTTTTGTTCATTAAAAGTTCCTTTCCTTAACTGTGTTTCCTTTGCAAGATTCATAAGCTTTGACAGCCCAAAGCAAAAGAGAAAATTATTGTATATCTTCACTATCTGCTTCATCAAATGGGTTAAACTTTGACAGCTCAAACAAACAGCATTGAGAGATACCATTACCTAAGAAGCAGAGCACTAAAGTGATGCATATATGACTTTGAGCAGATTAACTTGTTGGTTTGAAAATAGTAAGTATTTATAATTACTTCTTTTATCTTAACTTTAATTTGCATATATGAAAAGTAGAGTTCTAGAGTGATCATATAATATCGTTTCGTTTGCTTTCTTCTTCATGAGATACTTTCCAAATCATTTTTGGTGTTTTACCACCGGATTAATATTGAGAATTTGATTCTACTTGGCTCTTTCTTTTATTGGGGGGGGGGGGGGCTTTCTTGGTTGTTTGAAGTAATGGAATTAAAAATATAAGATTACAGGAACTATGTGACTTTGATGCTCAGGCGAATAATATAAAAAGAAGAACTATTTGTTTCTTGCAGTGGCATAATTATGCAGACATCAACATTCGACACAGGCTTCCCACAACTACGTTAAACTTGTTTAACAAACGACAGTCCTTTTTTTGTTGGTCGAAATGACAGAGTCCTTAATATAACATATTCTGTTTGAAGTATTAATTTTTTTACATGACATCCCTAACTAACTATAAAACTTTCTAATTAATTAATCACATTTATGTAGTTAATTTTTTTATTAAGAAATTTTCATAGTTCCAATAAATAATTAATTTTAACTGACTTTATTAATTTATATAAAATTATTATTAGAAGCTTATAATAAAATGAGGAGGGAGTAATAATGATCTCAATAGCAGTGGAAATGGCTATCACAATCCAAGCGTAGCTGTGTTTGTATCTAATTACTAGGATTTATTTTTTAAATTTTAGGTCAGAAAGAAGGGCCTTATTCATTGGGTTTTGAATATTTGTCAGTAAATTAATTAAGAGGGTGTTTTCCAATAAATAATTAATTTTAACTGACTTTATTAGTTTATATAAAATTATTATTAGAAGCTTATAATAAAATGAGGAGGGAGTAATAATGATCTCGATAGCAGTGGAAATGGCTATCACAATCCAAGCGTAGCTGTGTTTGTATCTAATTACTAGGATTTATTTTTTAAATTTTAGGTCAGAAAGAAGGGCCTTATTCATTGGGTTTTGAATATTTGTCAGTAAATTAATTAAGAGGGTGTTTGGCAATTTAAAGAAAAGTGTATTTTCACCCTAAATCATAGTTTGAGCCAGATAATTGCCAAACACCCAAATTTTTTGAAAAAGCCTTGGTTTGGCCCAAAACTAAGGTTTTGGAGCCCAAAACCTAGATTTGTAAAGAAGCAGAAA